GAGTCTCTCAAAGTGTCTCTTGTTATTTGAAAGAAAAAATGGAAAACCAGCTTTAAGCTGTAATGCGTGCATGCATAAAGAACAATGCTGCATCATTAAACCCAGTTTGAAATATTTAGCTTGCTTTTTGCTCTTCCTGGCAAGTTAAAGATAAATACTTTAAGAATCTGGTACAGAAATAACATTAATTCACATTTGTTAAAGCATTTAAAATGTCATGAGTGGAAATCTTCGAAGCAATTTAATTCTGAAAAGCTACTGTAGTTATCGAGTCTTAATTAGAGCGGACGTCCAAGAACATTCAATATTTCAGCAGTTGTAAAAGCTATAGAAGGAATAGCATATAAAGTACTGGCACGTAGTACGCACTGCCAGGAGACAGTGGTTTCAAACGCACTGCTGTATTTGTAGAGAGCTGGAATAGTTTTCAAAGAGCAAAGGTCACTGGCTGGCTGGCAGAAGGGAACCAGGGAGGCGGCCAGTTCACCGGAATGTGGGTGAAAAGAGACACATGACTGAGGCAGGCCCCCCTGTGGGGATCTTTGCTCACAGTTACAACACGCCGTGGCTCAATTTGATTCAGCGTTTTTTTTTGTGAAGCTGGTACGATTACACGGGGTGAGGGGAGAGAAAAGCCATCTTTCTGTCTCGCCTTTTTTATTTCAAGTGGCTAGGAAGTGTAGGAATATCGGAATGGTGGCTGTCAGTACCAGGAGCATCCCCTTTGCATGTTGCTTTTAAACTCTTTTAAAGTAAAATCCTCTCCATTGTGTGCCCTTTACATTATTCCTAGACTGTTGCAATAGTAGCTTAGGTATGGTACATACCTCTGTTAAGGAACAAATAACTATATTTAATACAGTGCTCCTTACTCGTTTTTTTCCTTGGTAAGGCCTGTTCAAGTTGTTTTTTTTCTGTTTTCTTTTACCAGTCAAGTAGAAGTTCTGATTTTTTAAGATCCTTGGACCTTGTAGAGAACAATGTAGGTTTGCTTACTATAAATGCCTTGTAGGCACATCTTTGAATAGACTTTATTACTAAGGTTGCATTTAGCAGAAGACTAAACGAAGCACTGCAAAGGATGGATTGTACAGCGCATTATCCTGAGTGCAGGTCACTGCCATAGAATGTGAGAAGTTTTATACAGGCCTAGGTGACGCGGTTCATTCTTACCTTCCAGTAACAAAACTAATTGTAAGGTTATATGGTAGTAAATCCTTTATTTTTGTATTGTGAAGTTTTCTTTAGTGCTTAGTGCCTGGTTATCATCTTGTATTCTTTTTTTAATGCAGTAATGTTCGACGTCATCTCATGTTGTGCCGTTTAAATTTTTTGTTAAGTCCCTACCGATTTAGGACACGATGGAGTTCTTGAGTATAGTTCAGAAACTATATGCAAATTTTGCAAACAGCACATTCCCTCTGAGTTCTTGCATATTTTTTCTGAGTGATGTCTTCACTCAGCACTGCAGTACTTTAATGTTTGCAAGTTATTTCAGCTTATTTTGCGTCTGACAGGAGGACAGTGAAGCCCTCTTGTAAGAACTAGCCTACATGCCTGAGGTATGCTTGGGCTCGTGGGAAATGCTGTGCTGATTACAGTAATTTTCTTTGTCTAAAAGGAGTCCCATGGATTGAATTATATGAGGCAATGTAATTTAGAATAAGTAAAGAATTGCATTTAAAGCCTGGTTAAAGAAAGTCCAAGAGGCTCAGGTTTATGCCTTTATCAACAGGATGCCTTCAGGAAATATTCCTCCCTTGCTTGTGTAAGTGGTGGTGTACCAGCAAGATTTAGTTCTGGTCTTGGTTTGCTGGATGAATTCCTTGGATTACTGCTGCCTTGAACTTTTCCCGTAGTACGATTTGAATGGGTGCCATTTGCACTACTGTCAATGTATCGAGGTTGTGATTTTATTGCCTTTTAAAAAGCTTCCAACAGTTAAACTGATGTGTCACTTACTGAGTCATTTGGAGGCGCCTTTTCTGACTAATTCAACCTTTGCCTCTAAGGGTTTAGGTTCTTATAGCAAGAGCACATGTGAAGCAGTCTTTTTGATTTTTAATTCTTTTTGGCTTTCGTGACAGTTGCTGATTAATAATTATTAACTTGGATATTTCCACTCCAGTAATATGTGGGGGGGGGCAGAATGTAAAAGTCCATGTCAATCTTGTATCACCAAACTGAACCATAAATTGTCTTAAGTTGCATTCCTTAGCAAACACTTCAATTCTACAATTCTATGTTAATGAAAGTTTGCTGCTTTCTTTTTAAATGTGTTATGTATTTGTGAAGTTATGCTGTATTTATTTTTATGTCTGAGTTTTCTCTTAAAAGGCAATATACTACATTTTACAATTTGTTTTTTCCTGGAGCTGACTTGGTTTTAACCCTCTAAATCCATAAAAAATTGAGTGGGATTACATTAGGTAAGCATTTGTGTTCGGCCATACAGTACAAGAATCATTAAGCTTCTCTAGCCCTGCTTTAGACAGACTTTCCACCTTAACAAGATCTGCTGTGCCTCCAAGCATGGGGCCACAGCAATTATCTGGCGTCTCTGTCCATTGTGTGCGGGAGTTGTTTAGGGGTGGCTACCACAACGTAACTCTGTAGGCCTACTGTAGGCCATCTGGTTTAAGTTAGCTCTCTCAGCAGTAGGACTGATCCTCATTTCCTCCAATAAGCAACTCTCTACAAGCGCCTATTCTGTCCCATCTTCAGTGAACAGAAAATTATAGGTGTTGCAGACTCAGTGTTGACATGTAGACGTACAGAAACATGCAGGGCAGGGAGCTTGCAGAGAAAGCCTAGTAAATAGGGGTGAGAACAGTGAGTTTATCTTGAATTTAAAAAGAAAAAGAGAAGGGGGAATTGACAGTTTTAAATGAATTCAGTTCCTCCTAATCTTCCCCTTTAGTGAGCAATTTAATTATGTTCATATGGTGCACAGACAAAAATGGCTTAATTTAGAGATGATTGCGCGCTGTTTACAACAGTCTGGATTTTTGCCTCTTTATTGATAAAGAGTTCATATGAAGAATTAACATCCTTTAGTTATGAAAGTTTCTTTCAGTCTTTGTGTTTTAGTGTTTAGCTTATATTCAATATTCCTACGTTCTGTAATTCTTTTATACATAGGGTTTTGATTTTCTATTGTTGAATATATTTCTGAAGGGTCTCCTTTCAACGTGTTTGTTGTGGAGGGGTGTTTCCCGAAAAGCCTTGTACTTTATATGAGTATGAAATCTTGTTTTTCAAGTACTGCCTTAGTGTTAGTACTCCTGTATCTCTACTTTCATGAGAAGTGTGGATAGAGCAGAAAGTGGCACACTGTCAGGACCAGTTTCCCAGTGACTGGGGACCCTGCCCCCTGTCCTTTAAATGAGATGGAAAAATTAGCTCCTGACCACTTTAGTCATTCAAAACAGCACAGTTTGTAAGAGGAGGGTTGTCTACCCCAGTGTTTTAGCTAAATTGTACTCTAGGCTTGCACAGTACCTTAACTTACCTCTTTGTTCCAAGCAGTGGAACATTTTCTCATTTTTCTATCTGGCCTGCTTTCCTGGGGCTGCAGAAGAATGGTTCTTGCCATACGTCATCCAAGTGGGTGCTGTGCTTCAGTGGTGGTTTGTAGCGATCCAATCCTGTATGTGAAGTGCTTGGGGAATCTTTTAAGATGAAAAGAGCTATATAAAATGCACAGAATTATTAATGAGAATCACAGCATTTTCCTGTTAGGAGGCCCACTCTTACGCTCTCCTAGATTACTAGGTCAAAAGCTGGGAATCCAACACACTTTCACCTGGCATGAACTCCTTGCTAACAAAATACCTTATCTTTGAAATGCATAGATAGCCCAGTTTTTTTTATTTCAGAAGAAGGACAAATTATTTTTCTTGAGATAGCCAACTCTTAAGAAAGACCCTACTGTCATGCGTTTTTGTTGCAAAACACAGGTGCATAATGAACAATTTCACGAAACAGTTTGGCTGTGACACTCCCCACACTGATATCAATTCCACGGCGAAACCCAAATATTTAGGGATAAGTCAAGCCCGGACATCTGAATTTATAGGAATACCATCTAAAAATGTGTTGGTTCTTTTGAATTACAGAAAGGTCCTGTATGAAGGATTTTATTTTTTCTTTCAATTCTCGGAGGAGAATAAAGTCTGCCTGGCTTTGTGCGCTAAAATGGCTTTCCATTTCAGGGGAAAAAAGTAAATAAATGAAGTGGCATGTAATCTGATAAGAAGTGCTAGATGTTACTGGGATTCTTGCCTACAAGGAACATTTCTCTACTGATAAGCTATTGGGTCCTTAATGCAGCAAATACAATAGAATAATATGAAGTACAACTAAACTGTTTAACAGCAGCCATTGTATTTCAAATGCAGGTGTGTTCATACCAGATAACATAGTCACTCATTCAAAATAGCTGGCAGCAGAAACCTCTGTAGTATCCATGCTGCCTATATAGCTGCCTTTCCTCATGCAGCAATCTGAAATGCAAAGTGCAGCTGTTTATTGACATGGGGAACTACTATAAAAGCTAAAACTAGAGTGGTTGCCTATTATTTTGTGAATCTTCAAGTGCTAAATTTGAAGTTATGGCAGTGAAAAGCATTTTACGCTTTGCCTGTAAGCTTGTTCTGCTCAAACATTGCAAATGGGGGTTGTGCCCCAACCATTGAGAGACAATTGTACTTTGTGTTGCCGACCTAATTTCAAATATTTCACTGGTATCAGACAAATATCTGAAGCATTTTATTTTTTTGGACATGTTCAGTTTGGAATTGTTTAGGTCTTGTTTATGTTTGATCGAGTTTCACCTCTCTTACCCTATTCATACGTAGCATATCATTGTTTTGTACCTGGTTTTAGTCTTATTTTTGTCATATGATCATTTTCTTTCTTATTTTTTAGTTTTTTTGTTTCTGCATTGTTAACATGATTTTTTTCTTTTTTCTTCATTTTTTTTTCTTTCTGCCATTCAGTACCTCCAGATGAAATGGCCCTTACTTGATGTACAAGCAGGAGGCCTACAAAGTAGGCAAGCACTTAAAGATGCCAGGTCCCCATCTCCAGCACACATCGTTGTAAGTAAACGCCAGTCAGTCCTTCAATTTTGTAAGCTTTGTTTTTCATGTGCCATATCTCTCTGACACTTACAGATATAAGTTTGAGTAAATGAGGAATGCAAGCACTGGTGAAGGCTTGATCAATGCAGTGTAGGAGACCACCGTGCTAAAATCATCCTTTTGTTTTTGTCTTTCTTCAGAGTTGCATACAGCACAGTGTCATTGCTAAGGACAGTTGTAATAATTACATTCTTTCTATAGTTTCTTTTTTGTGTGTTTTTTGTTCCTATGCTTCTGTCACCTCAGCACTCGGAGATACAGTAGTTCAGGGGTAATGAGAAGTACTCAGAGGCAAACTGAAAGCCTGTCTGAAAGCCTCATGTAAAAGCCCAGGTGTTCCAAAGAAAATGGTTTTATTATTTGTTTTTTGAATTATCTTGACTCTGTATGAAGAACCTGGGGGTTCAAATTACGCTTAATATTTTTTTATCTTAAAAAAACATTTTGTGGATTACATAATAGGAACCCATTGTTCATGGTCTAGCAGAGGCCTAGCACTTTCAACACCATGTGAGCAAGGCCTTTTCTTTTTGTCATATTCAGCTGTCCTAATAAGGCTGTCAAAATAGAGGAAACTGTGCTCCTATTGAACCGGATAATTAGATGAACAAACCTGGTAGCCAGTGCTTATTATGTGCTTAACACTGACCTTTGACTTATTGGAATGTTTATTTACTGTTTTATTGCTATAATGTGAGTTAGGTCGATTTGTTAACTTGAGCCCCCCTTTAAAAAAAATACTGCCTAACAAGGTGTGTCAAACTGACGATGAGGAAGTGCAAGATATGGATCTTATTTTGGCTGGATGTTGACGTCTTAATGCGAGCACCAGTGCCATGGAAAAGTTTGACTTGTGGTTTAAAGGACGGTTCTTACACAGTAAAATGCCCAAGTGTTGCTTTAAAAGAGCATAGGTGTTATTGCTGTATTGCGCCTTGTTATTATGCTGCTTAAAACTAAAAAATTAAACTTACTGGAAATTAGGTAATCGAAAGGAACAGAGTATAATAACGAGACTGTTCAGCAAGTTGTACAGAAATAAAATTTAATTGCAACCGTAGAAGGAGCCCCCAGATTTGCCAGATTCTGATGCAAACTTTCTTACTCTCTGTGAAACTAAAATGCATGACCAGGATTTTTCACCTTCTCTTAAAAAAAACAACTTAACTTTAAAAAAAAGTGGTTATAGTCAGTTGAAAGTAAAAAAGTATTGTAACAGACACAGCCCTCAGGGGCATGGGGCTAAGAGAGATTGTTTATGCCTTGACAGTGGGTTGGAACCTTTCGGTGATGAGGTAGCTCACCTGTCTTGAAAGCTGGTGACTGGGGTTTGATTCCCAGTAAGACCTGCAAGTTCCCCTTGAGTGTTACAGTACTTACAGAATATTCTCACCCAAAGGTCAGTCTGTGAAGATTTGAAAGGATGTTGTAAAGTAAATCCTAGAACAATCGGGCAATCTCGTCATGCGAATTTAGCGAGTTGGCACCCTACTTTGTGACTTAATAAGTGGCTTGCATTTTGTGGGAACCAAGCCTTTATTTGTTTTGACCTTGCTCTTAAAGTATTGTAAGTGAAAAATATTTTTGAAAACTGTCAAACAGGAAAGCAACACTGTGTGCTAATTTTAACAAAATGCTGTTAAAAATAACCTTGACAGAAAACTTCATTTATTTGAAACAGAAACTTATAAAGCATTATTTATAGCACAAAAGTGGTCTTGACGGTATGTTTATGGGAACAAAACAAAGTAGTTAATTTCCTGTTTACAATGGCAATATGTTCTTTTTATATCTAGGTTTAATAGAACAATACATTTTTAACTTTTACCATAAGAAGTGGGGGTAGCCAACAAAAAAAATTATCAGGCTGTGAGTCACAACATTGTAAATACTTCTTGAGTAAGGTCTTTTTATAGTGCCTTGAGACATTTTGTAAGTGTTGTTTGTAATTACTTATTCTAGAATTTAAACTTCTTTAGCCCTGAATTTAAGTCACAGTATCTGAAGTATCTGTGGCACAAACTAGAAATTTGTCCTCATCTTAAATGATTTTAAGCAGAAGTATAATTTAAATGCTGTCATACCTGGCTTTTTGTTTATTTGAGGTATTTAATCTATTTCTAGAGGAATCCTACACACAGAAAAGGTTGTTTTACCCTTTTCATTACAGCATAATACACTGCATAATACAATTTGAAGTGTATATATAACAATGATGCCAGTTGCTTTTTCTTTACATCCTACACATGAATTATCTACCAGTATCTTGTGAAAGGTGATAGGAAGGGAAATTTGGTGCATCACCCAGGTGGGTGCTGCCCTTCAGTGGTGAATGAAGAGGATCTCTTTTAATAAGTACAATGGCTTGGGATGAAATACTTTATACATTATTATTAACATGCCTCGAAGCATTGATTTTACTCCATGTGCCTTTGGCTGCATGGAATCATGGATTACTGAACTTGACCATTCAGGTGTGAAACTATCCAGTCATTTTTATGTACATATTGTTTTCCTTCTAAATAAATCCTGAGATGAACCGTGCTGCATGTTTTTTTTGTCATTCTGCTTTGCTTCGTTTTTTTTCCTTTCAAATGGAAGAGATTGGCACCTTGACCCCTAGAGTTGGGAATGTGAATCTGAACAGGAGAGATAAGGGGGACACAGTTGATGGTGGTGAAGATAAGGAGCAATCTGAAGTTCAAGTGCCTCTAAATGAATGAAGAGAGTCCTAACTGGATTAGGTAAAGGCGTGAACAGAGAGAGAGTGAAATGACTTTTAAGGTGTGGATTCCTTGTACAGAGGAGTCCAAAAGATCCATGCTAATGTTTTTTTTTTTATTGAACCTTTTCTGCACCTTTTTACTACAACCTCAGGTAAAGCTTCTGAAATAAAGAACTGTGCCAGGATGCTGTCACCTTATTTTGTAGTAGTAAAATCAATCCGATCTACAGCAGTTCCCAACCAGGTTCATGAGAAGGTTTGAAGAGATACCGTGCAACTGTACTTCATCCATCATCCTTCTGTGGGATTATTTTTTTAAACATTTTTTAATGTTTTATTTAAAGTTTACAAGTATGAAGTCAGGCCCTTTCGTATGTCTTGGTCATCTAGTTGCTGGGGGCTTAATTTTTCAATAAATCCTACAGGAAACCAGTGGGATTCTAGGAATTGACAATCAAACACTTTGTACCAAGCACCTTCAACTATTTGTGTAAAGAAGTATCTGCAGTTTTCTGCCCCTTTTTCTACTACCGTATTTTAATTGTCCTTTTCTTCTTAAATTTTACACAAAGGCATTTGGGGCTGTTCTAAAAGTCACAAGGGTCAATGTCCAAAGAAAAAAGTGCATAATAGCTAAAGGGAAGATGCAAATGTATAATAAAAGAAAATACATGTTGACCATAAGAGCAAATCCTCTTTTTTCTAGTGCACTGGAATAGTCTTACAATGTGTTAAAATATAATTACCAGCAATTTAGGAGTTTTTAAGATTGTTGGTTTTCTAAAAGAGCGTTTTGTCAGTTTCATTTTGTTGACAGATAAGGGTCAGGTCATGGCTTATCCTGATCTTTGAGTTTTGCTTTTACTTTTAGTTTTATTTTGTAATATTGTGAGAAACTAAGATTCATTGAAAATACTGGCTATAATTATGGCTATGTCTGGTATGGGTCTCATTGTCTACCCTTAGAGTGAAAAGAAAGTAAGAGCAAACATCTGAACTTACACTAACACATTTTGCTGTTGTATGCAGATTTAGTTGTTAAGGGGCATAGAATTAGGTTACAATATTTATAAAGAACAAAAACTCAGTATGTTTACATAAACTCTTTAACATCTGTGCGAAGAAAAAAATTAAACTTTTTTTAATACAAAGTGTTTCATATTTAATGCTTTTTATTACACAAAGTCTTATATTTTGCCTCATGTTAAACAAAAATCAGACTGTGTTTGGTTAGGGAAATGTGGCAGGCAGTTGTTATTATTTCTATTTTGCAAACTGCTGAAGAGTGTTTGTTTTTTCTGAAAATATTAAAAATCTCGGTCTACTTAGAGCAAACGTACACCTAAGCTATCAAAACTACACTCGCTAGCATTGAGGTTTCTGAATGAAATCAAATACTAATTAAACCATCATATGTGTTTGGATAGCTTTTGCCAAGGTTTGGTGGAACTGCTGACTTTAGAGTGCAAGGAGGAGGATAAACTCCTAGCCCCCGATAGGAAACATGTGTTACTTCGTGCTGGAATTTTACAGGAACACTCAACTGGTGCCTCGGATAGCTCAGGATCTCCATGACAGGTTGTGATATGAAGCAGCATGACAGCAGAGCTTGCACTATTCAGTAGTCACCCTTAGGACAATGCGGCATGGTGCACTATTGGAGTGGCAGGACTGTGGGTGACATATCGGGGGCCCTCACTTATTGCTTTAAACGCCTGTGCTGAGCTTTTAGTGCTTTGAACAGCCTGCATTCCAAGAGAAAGTCCAGGTGCGTTGCCTTTTAAGACCTGGAGAAGTTATTTCCCTTTTTTTAATGTTTTAAAAAAGGGAAAACACTTTTTTTTGGAAAACACTTGAACTTTTATGTAACTTTAAAATACTTTATACGTGGATGCATGTTATTGATCACTTTTGGTTTCATGGGAGACAGTCATCTTGTCTGCAAGGGACAGCGAATTAATACACATGTAATAAACAGCACTTATATATGTTTATTAAACATATATATATAAAACAGTTATATCAAAGAAAAACCTGTTTTTTGTTAATATCTACCAGATTGAACATTTCTAGGGGTTAGTTTGTACTGCATTATTAACCCTTTTTAATGTTTGTTAATTGATTAAAGGTTATCAGAAACCATACGTGGAATTTGCAGCACATAAACTAAAACATAATAACAAATAACTAAAGCATAGTTTTTAAAAGAGTTCTGATTTCACTCTAGCCTTAATTGATTAAATTTCAACTTTAGTTTCTCCAAATAGTGCTCCATATTGGATGATTCATATGTATTTATAATCTTTTTTTTTCCTTACTGAAATAAGGATTTAATTAGGGCTAGCTTTCAAAATGAGAAAGGAAAGAAGAGTTTTTGGATGGCAGTAAGGCTGTTTAGCTTGGTACCGTTTACTTGTATAGTTCAGTTTTCTTGTGGTATTGATGAGCATTCAGAAAACCAGTCTCCACTGCTTCAGAAAACAGACCAATAACTAGAGCAAACTAAGTCAAGTGTTGAGGAGACGGTGAGGGTGGAGGCAGGAGGCAAACATCTGTAAAAATGTGCTGCACTATCTTTTTTCTGTGGAGCTGCTAGTTTGCTTCCTTAAAAAAAACTTGAAAACGGATACCAGAGCTTAAGAGAGCGAACGTCTTTTCCAGAGTACCTCACTCTGCGCTGGAGCGGGTCAGGTCTTAACGATAGTAGTTAAAATTGACAGGCTGGGAACTGGGGCAGAAACAAAAAATGTCATTCCCTGGGAGTCTTGTTCTCTGGACAATGTCTCCATTGTTTTCTGGGCTTTTCATATGCAGCAGGGGATATTGGAATGTTAACCGCTTCCTAACCAGTTCCTTTCCAGCAACAATCAAGTATTTTCTATTGATTGAAATGCTGCATTGCCCTTTGCATGGGATGTTCCAATTAGGTTGGTATAAGCAAAGGAAGCAACACGTATAAAGACCTCTAAGGCCTTAAAGGTAATGAAGTGCCGTAAAGGTCTTGGTTTAATATCACTATTAACCAGTGATCCCTCTTCTGTGCCTTAGGCAGAAAGAGAAATATTTGTTTTGTACAAACTGAAATGGGTAGATAGTATCTGTCAGTGGAGAACATTCACTGTAATACTATATCACACTGAGTGAAATAATAAGCTATCTTCAATATAACCTTACCTGGCTATGTCAGGGTATTAAGACAAAAGTCAAAGGGTATCTCTCGCATGTGCTTAGAGGATTCTAAATGTTTTTTTATATATCGTGGAAGAAAATACATATTTTCTTGGTTTTAGTTTCGATTTTGAAAGTGTATTCTTTCCTCTGAATTGTGCACCTGCAGATTCGGAAGGTAATAAGCCCAGCTGTGACACTGCAACACTTATACTATTAATAGGAAACCCCTGTGCAGGATCTGGACTGTGTGTCAGCTTTTAAGGCAGTTCTGTTGTTGGTTGAAGTAATTTTTAAAATTATTTTCTGCAATGGCTGTGAAGGCTATCAGGTGCAGGAGATTTAAAACTAGCGATACAAAAGCAGTGCAATTAATTCAAATGGTTTTGTACAGTATTCTGCCATCTCTGTTTTAGAAACATAACTTTCAGTAACTCCTAACTTATATAACTTTTAGAGGCAACCTGTAACACTGAACATTGGATTGTTTCCATGAACAGAGATGATGTATGGTTTTCAATGAAAATAAATTGTTCCATATCCATAGAAGCACAAGAATGCAGTAAAATAAAAAGAAGCTGTAACAGACACTATAACATATGGCAGTCAGAAGGTCAATAGAAGACTTTTGTGTTTGCTGTTATGATTTTGATTCAGACACCAAGAGTGTGTGTACAATGTCAAATCACTTAAGGTCACATACCAGCAATCGTAACAATCCAGCTTAGACAAAGCAGAGTTTCTTGTTACGTTTTCTGAAACTAAAAACTACTTGCCTTATTGTATTGAGATCTTTTTCTGTGGCATTAACTCCGTTTGAACTTCGCTTCACAATGTGTGATCTATCCTTGTTTTTCCAAGGGAATATACAGTAATATCAATATTTTATTTAAAAAATGAAAGGTCATTTGTAATTTGCAGGGTTTTTGACTATTAAAAGTAGTGTCATACTTTTTGAGTCACTAAATCTCAGAAATCCACCTTGTTCAGTCAGTGATCCAAAAAATTAATAACTTAATTTTTAAATGCCCACCGGGTTTCTTTTAGTAAGTGGGATAAGCTGGATTCACAAAGCTTTAACCAGTTGACCTGGGCCAGCTGTTTTGACGATAATACACTCTTCAGTTGGATGTTCCATATTAATGTGACATCACACCAGTTGTATTTAAGTACCTATTTGTTTGACTCTGTCTAAATGAAGATGTAGCAGCTGACTGACATTTTAAACTCTTTTTAAATCATAGTATTTAACTTTTGGTTCAAACACCAGTTGGCGGTTCATGTTTCTGAGGTTCAAGCCAGCTGCCAGCAGTTATTTGTGGAATAAATGTCCACAGAAACAGAAACACGTTCACTGGCTGTACTGGTAGATCTGGCTAAAAGGGACTGTTATGTTGGACTGCTCTGGGGACAAACTACATAATTCTAGAGAGGATTTGGGGGGCTGTGTTATTTAATTTAATTCACCAGCTTTGACCTAGGATTCACATTCTGTCTAGGTTCTGTGCTGCTACCTGAAAAATGTCACTGATGACAGTGTAGCTTTTGTGTCTCAAAGGGACTGACAAACTCCAGGACTCAACGTCTGCAGAGTTCTCCAGATGTTTGTGCACATTGGCTCAAAGGAACACGTAAATGTTAATTCCACACTGAAAATTGAAAAAAAAAAAATGTTTTGGCTTCTGGTGTGACACACACAAAACATGTTTCTTTATTTCTACTTTTCTATGTGGAATAAACCTTTACTTATTCCTGAGTTTTCTAGATTTTATTTTAAATATGGTCTTAATTGAGTTTATTGCTTGGAAAAAGGCTGAACCAGTTGTTTTTAGGTCTTAATCAGGTGTAAATTGAAAGATATCTGTGAAGCCTATAGGACCCTTGAGGCCTGAAGATACCCATTGCTTTTGTAATGCTTTCAGTGTAAATTGTCTCTGAAAGCATTATATTGTGCTTTTTCCTCTTTCCTTCTTAAATCCTCCTCTTCATCTCCTCATTCTTCTCCTCTTTTCCTCGTTGTTCTCCCTAGGCCTAAAGGCATACATATAGAGTGGGTTGTTAACCACCCTTGTGAATAAATACTTGTTCCTCTGCTCTCATGTATAAAATTATAAAAGGACATCAAGTAAAATGTGAGCAAAGCCCAATGTTAATAACCTGCAGAAGCAGCTGACTGATATCAAACCAACGATAATCTCATATTCTCTGTATCTGTATGTCTAATGTGGTTTGGCATGCTCTCCGGAGACCTAAGATTTAAAGAAATAGGTTGTAGGATTTTGAAATACATTCTTTACATTCATGCCCTAGTTGGATAATGTGCGTTTATAATTGTGTGACTCGGGACGTACATCTTTCCATTTCAGGGACCCCTCTGCTTGGAATTCCCCGGACAGGGAGATCTGAGTCTTCACCAATTTCAGTTGGTGAGAATTGAATTCCAAGTATCTTGTAGCTGGTTTTAAAATGCAATGTTTGATTATAATCTACTTTGTGACTGCTGCGTGTGCAGTAACTGTCTTCCATATGCTCTGTGTAGTAGGTGCTTCCAAAAAACAAAGCTACCCATTACACCTCAGCAGGATGCTGTTTTAAAATGATTAGAATTATTTTTTTTTTTTGTGGAAACCTGGAAGAAGCTTCACAGGACTGAGTAATCAAATACTACAGTGCTCTTTCTTGTGGTTGTTCTTGACTTTAAAAGGAGTAGGTTGTAAGATGCTTGTTTTGTTTTTTTATTTATTTACAGGGTTATATTCTATGAATCATTAAGGCTTCTTTACATTTTTCAGGAACGAAATCCCTTTAACCTATGAGGAAACAGTTACTGCACACATGTATGAAGGGCTGGTGGGTAATCTCTACTGCTGGGTAATGCTGTTTTTCACGAAATGCCTTAGTGTAACTGTTTTAAAAAGATGCCATCATTTCTGGTACACTGCTAACTGATGTGCATGTAAAGACCTGTTGATTTAAAAAAGTTTCAAAAAAGGTTAAGCAATTCTTTGGTAAGATATGCTTAACTGTATTAGAACAAAAATGACTGTCTTTTTCATTTAATTATTTGGTGCAGAATGATGCAAAAAAACACCCGGAGTGGAGTGTTAAAATATGCCAAGTTTTTGCCCCCCCTGCAGTGTTATTTTGGTTAGTCAGAGTTTCTGTAGGAGGTATATACTTTGGTGTGATTAGTACATTTCTGTTGTCCAAATGTTTCACTTTCCCTTAGGGTAAAGAATAGCGATCAGCATGTTATAATCTCTTTCCTGTCCTTCAGAAACATTCAACTTTTATTTATATATTTATGTACATTCACCATCTAAGTTGTTATTTAAAGCAGCTTCAAAAACATTGAATATTGATGCAGTTCTGTATTACACTTGTCATATTTAGAAGTATCATTTGAGTTTCTCTTATTGCCCGTTGTTTTTTGGTGAAGAAATACATTTTTGGGGATAGCTTTTGTGCTTTACGGAGTATATCTGCTTTCTGTGGAAGATCTCTGACTGCTAGAACTTGTTTTGCTAGCTTCAGATGGAAATTCTGGGTGTGTCATTTTCTGTCTTCAATTTTCTCTGTAATAGTTTAGTGAACCATGAGCTGTGTCAAAGGTTGACAAGCTTAGCAGCACACAAACTGCATTTACTGGTACCTAGAGAATTCATAAACAGAACATCCTTGTTTCAGTGCATTTGGGTAGCCAACATTTGGTTACAGGATTAATTGGTAATAATGAAGCCCAGTGGATCAAGTCATTGTGTACATCACATATTGTCTAATTCCTTGACAGGTTAAGAAGAGAGTCTTGCTCTCAGCTGGTGTTTCATTTTTCAGTTTTTGATTGTGATACTGGAATGAGATTTGGTGTGTGACATTGATGGTATACTTAGGAATTTGTCTGTGTATTTTCACACTCTAGTCCATTTTGTAATGGTTGTTTTAATTTGAGGGTTTTTATACAGGTTATAGCATGTCTGTGGTTGCTGTTTGAAAATTGCACTCCTTTCACGGAAGCTGTGGTGTCTTGGTATATTACCTCATTGTTTTCTGGCTGTTGTATGTGGAGGTTCTCCTATGCAACAGAGATGAGTAGTAGGGGCCCATTCATGAAGAAAATCACTTCTGCACAGTTGCTTTAGTGAAATCAAATCTGTGAAGAAGTGCAGTCAGAGATGCAGTGAGGTGTACTCAGTCCATATACTTGGTTGTAGTTCATCTGTTTGTGGGCAGTTACAAGTTTTCAAATGTTGTGTTAGGCTTGGAGTGTTGCAGGCCCACAGCTTGGCTTCAACCCATTTAGCTGGCTGTGGTTCTGAATAACTGTGCTAATCAGAAAGCCAAGCTTGCATTGTGGGACGGATGATTGCATGTGTCGTTGTGTGAGGTGTCCACTCAACCCTGAATTCTGAAGGGATTGCTTTGTAGCTATTTGTTAAAGTGTAAAACAACAACAACAACAGCAGCAACTTTCTAAATGTGTCAGAATCTTTTAGAAGCAGTGCAGAGTTTTCTGTTCGGACGAAAAAAGCACATTGACATTTTGTTTAAAGATTAACAAGAAAACATAGGAGAGAATGTACTGAACTTTTTGTGGCTCCTTTCATACAAGACATCCCAAAGAATTATGTAAAAATGAAATATAGGCATATGATTTCTTGTCTTGGCTTAAGTGCATTTAACTGGACTTTTTTTAAGTTCATGCAGTTATACCAGAAGCAGAACCGATTCTAAGCAGTATTTACCTGAAAACCTTTCAAGAAGCGGATGCAGTCAACAAGTGTTCTTTGCCTGCTGTTTCCTGACACGTTAAGAGCTTGTGACATCTTTTCTCATTGGATGTTTAAGGAAAGAAAAGTCTGATGGAGACTTCTTGAGGTTAAGCCACTGGCAGTTGTCTGTTGTGCTCAATGGATAAGGAACTGTGAAGATCACAGTTTTTTAGGGTTTTGTTCTCCTCAATTGGTTGAGGTAAAAGACAAGAGAAGCCAAGAATTTTTGTAGTGCTTGCTCCTCCTTCCTCTGCTCCCCCCATACTTTATTTCTGTGGTGGAACTGAGTGCGGTTGCACCATATTATTGCTTCAGCAGTTTTCACGGAGAACTTGTTTTGACAGAACTCCAGGTGTCTCATTGTTGGGCCGGTTATGGTTCAGCAGATTTACCAATTAGTGTCAGGTCCAGTGGGGAGGGGTGGAGGGGGAAGGGGGGTAATTTGGAAGGTCATGTGGCGAAAGGGGCGCTCAGTAAGTTGATATCCGGCGTTCAGTTGGAATAGTGTAATGGAGTGGCTTGGGAAAGTTTAGTGTTGAGTGACAAATACTAACTCCGTCTAACAATGGCTAAGAGGGACATAAGAATTCTTTACCTGTCCCCTTGGTTTGTATTGTTGCCTTGACCCTGTACTTTGGAAAATGTAGTAGTGACTAATCATAGTCCCAGATAATTTTTTTGTGTCCCTAAGTTGTGATTTTAAAACATAAATCCTATGGGCCCTACTGTTGTTGGCACCATGTTTTGTATTCGTCACTCACCGATATGTCAGTTTGGAGTCAACATGCTATACTTACAAAAGGGAATACATGTGCTGAACTTGTGGAATGTTTATTTTAGAATCGGATGGGAATCATTTCTACATTTTTAAAGTATTATTGGCTTTGCCTGGGTGTTTTCCATCTGTTGTTGTTTCATTGTGTGGTAGGTTAGTTTTGTTTCCATTTAAATGACAAATTTATTGTTTTGGAGAGGATGGAGTATGATGCGCTGTGTGCACATGGAAGACATGAGTTTAGCAAAAGATACCTTTTTCCCCGTAAAGCTTTCCCAGCCGTTTCTCCTCTTAATGTGCTCAGACCATCCGGTTACAGGTGACTGACGGCACCTTCGAGTGTGAAAACCACACCAGGCCACAGAGTACTCTGGCACACAGTGGACAGGGGGTGTGTAGGAGAAAAAGCTCATTAAAATGGCATTTGCACCTGTCTAGTCCATAAAAGAGCAGTGTGTATTACACTGCTGTCAAATAATTAACTGAAATTACTAATAAAAGGGTTATTTCGGGTTTTTTTTATAAATGTGGAGACATCTCATTAAGCAAGAGATTTTTAGCAAGTTGCTAGAAAAAAAATGCTTGTAAGCCACTCAAACCACCTACGGATCTACAGCACATTAGCCCTTAATCCATTGTTTAGATTGGAAGGAAGCCCTGAAGTTTGAAGGACAATTAAAGAGAGTTTATTCATGGGTCAGTTTGGCTGGTTTACACTCTAGGGAATGAGGGTGGTATGGCTGACATTTCCACAGAAGAATTTATTGTTATGACTGAATTCTGTGTGACAGTTGAGTTTAACACCTTCTGAATGTGTGAATATGGGCTAAGGATGTTGATTGGTCCAACTGCAAGTTAAAGCGGCAGAGATGGTGTCAGAAAGTGCTAAAGGATTATTTAGGAATACTTGGTGTCTGATTTCCAGAAAAAAAAGGTTTTGCATTGTTCATTTTTCTTTTCTTTATTACTTTCAGATGTGTGTGTCACTCAGCTTACTCTCAGAGTGACCAAATACCCAAATTCAGTTTTTGTTTTGTGTAACAATTTTTACATGTTATGAATTTATAGGAAGTTTGTTTTCAAATTATTTTAAAAAATGGGATCAAGGGTGAAAGTTGGTATGGCAGTTCCTCCCAGCTGGTATAAACATATTTTTCTTAAGTAATAAGTTGGATGTGGCTTATTTGTAATATTAATATTTTAGACATAATTGTGAAACTTAATCTTAAACACCCAAGTCTTTGTCATTTAACTCCAGTATATAAACCCGTCTCGCAACAATGTAATGTTATTGTAAGCAAAGCACTTAATGGTAAAACATTCATTTTCAATAACCACATAGTCTAATACAAGGTCATAGTGAGCCAGAGTCTATCATAGTAACCAGCTGGCTAACGGCTTGATAAAGAGTAAACCAAAGCATCAAATCTTTGATATTATATTCTTAAAAATTTAGACTGAGGTTGTAGGTGGTTAAATGGTCTTTTAATTGAGATAAAAAACATGGTTTTCTTGACACGGTTCTGGAAAATCACCACAAAATGCCACCTGAACGATTTTATTTTTAGTGTCGTAAAGTCTTGTGGATCTGCAGTGAGCTTTGTGTTATCTTTTTGTGTTTCCAGTGTGACTTGCTCTCTGAATAACCCACACGTTAATTTACCAGACAGTCAGAGCTGTGATGCCAGCAAAGCATTGTGTCACTGAGTTGCTTTGACTCCCCCACCAAAGGCACACTAGAAAATAAAGTTGTAGAAGCTCATTGAGGTGGATGGGAGAGACTATCATGCATATTTATTAAAAAGGGAAAGCATGAATCAGTTTTCAAACATTAACATTCTGAGACACAAATGAGTACAGCTGCAGTACTTAGTTATTTATA